ATGTCATCATTTTAAAAATATTAGATCAGATGATACTCAGTAACTCAAGTAGCCTTCTAATCAGATACTTTTTTTACCCTTACTTGAGTAATAAAACCCTATATCAGGAAAAATATCGTCCTCAGTTTGTGTCCTTCCAGTGAGCTTTTGCAGATGTGGGAAAAATGTCCATCAGGCAGTAATCGTTGTTAAATTCATAATTATTCTCGGAGAGAGACCAACTCTTATCTGCCCCTGGGGAGCCCCCGTAATGCATAGCGTCCCGTAATGCATAGCGTCATTTCAACATGGGGGTGTCCGCGACACTGTTTATATGCAGGTAGCGGCGCTGCGGCTGCTTTATATAGCTACTCGTTGCATTCTCCCTCAACCCAAATCCTCGGATCACGCATTTTAGCTAAAACGCTAACGTTAGCTTGCCTTGCGTTGACTGTAGAGTTGGGGGTGATGGTCACGCAGATGTGTCATGAGATTTGAAGCGTTGCTGCCTTTCACAGACACTTTTTCTGCTCGTGCTGCAAACAGGATAGCCGTCTTCTATCAGCTGTCCCTCGGCATTCTTCAAATATCCATAAGATGCCCGTACTTCCCACTTTTGTCTTCTTTGAGGGATAATAAATGTCCTGAGCACTGCCGTCTCCTCCTTTGACCATTATTTCAGCTTTAGCTTCAAGAAAGTTTTGGTTGTAAACAACAAAGTGCGCATGTGCCGCCGGCAACTTCAGCAGATGATACGGTGGCTGGTAAGGGTCACCGCGCCTACACCGCAGCCATGGTAACCCACCGAGATAATTTTTTTTTAAAAAAAACAAGATGGTTATTATTATTGTCAACTTTTTTACCGGGGTTTACCGCTACACCGGTTACCGTGACAACCCTACGCTACTTCCTCTCTATCTCTCTGCTTTGGGCGATGGTTTCTCCCTCTGGTTGGTCTCTGCTCTCTGGGGTGAGCAGCAAACTCATAACTTTATAGTTTTGGTCCATCATGAGTATAATTATAAACATTTAAAGTTTCCTCTGTGTCAGAGCCGCATTAGAGTCCATATAGCATAGCATAGCATTTATATAGCATGTTTAAAATGCAGCATGGGAGCTGCCCAAAGTGCTGCACAGGCTAAAACAAAACACACCCATTACAAGGAGCTAAAACAAAGGATAAAAATCTCAATTAAAAGCAGAGAAAACATGAATAATAAGAGCACATTAAAACAATGACACAATAAAACACTAAAACGAGTCACTGTCTAAAAGCCAAAGTGTAAAAGTGGGTCTTTAAACGAGATTTAAAAACAGCCAGAGATGGAGCCTGCCGAACTCCAATGGGCAGTGAGTTCCATAGCTTTGGGGCAGCATGGACAAATGCTCGGTCCCCCCGCGATTTGAGTCTCACCCGCGGCGTGTGCAGCAGCAAAAGGTCAGCCGACCTCAACGAGCGGGTGGGCACATATGGAGTGAGAAGGGCAGAGAGGTAGGAAGGTGCCAGGTCACTGAGTGCTTTAAAAACACTCAATGATCTGTTTCTCTGGATTAACCCTTTGTTGCATGAATTATGAAATCTTCAACCGTGATTTTTTAAACAATTTCATTCATTTTTGGGTGCGAATGAAACAAATTTCAACAAATATCTTTTGTAATGTTTTATTAATTTACAATTAAGTTATTACATGTCCACCTCAGTGGACAGCGTGCGTTCTGAACATGAAATATGTTGGCTTGGCTTACTGAAGTCCAAATGGAGGGGCTCAAATGCAATAAAGTCTTCAACAACTGTGCTTAATAGCAAAAATAAATAAATAACAACTTTGAATACCTGTCCACTGTAGTGACCGTTATGCATCAAAGGGTTAAACCAACAGGACTCCCTCAGCTGACGTCAATTGGTTTGGCCAAAAAAAAAAGAACCTTTCTCACAAAAATGACTCTAAAAGCCTCAATTATTTATGTTTGTGTAAAAAAAATGTTTAAACTGAGTTTCAATTATGTTTCTCTAAACATCGGTCCATGGGAGTCTCTAACCTGCAATATGCTCTTTATGATTGGTATCATAAAACACTCCAGAACCTCAGCTCTAAACCGCTGAACTCCAGAATGAATTGATTTGTTTCATTTGAAGACAAACGGCTGATTGGTGCCGTGGTTCTCTTCTGTTCCCCTGCTGTTGAATCGGGATGCTTTCAGACTCCTGACATTGTGTGTGAGCTGAGGACAACCTCAGAATCAGTTTAACGCTTTGGGGAATCTGTTGTAAACAGTGTTGGGCAAGTTATTTAAAATGTATGCTAGTGAAGGTTGTCCGTCATCCACATCATGGTAATCCAAAAGGGTTCAAATGAGGACAACTGGACTTCTTTGGTTTCTTGAAGACGTTTCACATCGCTAAAGCTCCTCGCATGAGAAGCTGAACGTCTTCAAGAAACCAATCCAATCCAGTTTTATTTATAAAGCACCTTAAAAGACCCAGGAACAAAGTGCTGTACAGAAAATGCATTAAAACAAT